AAAAAAAAAAAAAAAAAAAAAAAAAAGCTATGGGTCACTGGGAGATTCATTCACTCTCAATGGAAGTATAGATACAAATGTCTTAGAAAATAAATTTACCATTACCTTTGCAAAGATAAGTATGTACAATTCCACTACCAGCTATTCTAGTCCTAGGTAACTTATTTTAGAAAAACATATATGTACATTGGGATGTATGAGAATGTTTATGGGGTAGAGCATAAATTATCAAAAAACTGTAAAAGACCCAGATGTCCCTTGTTAGAAGAGTAGATAAAGACATGTAGCGGAATACTATACAGCAATAAAATGAAGCAGCATCAACCCACAGAATCAGTACTGAATGAAGACTATTATATCTCGCAGGATGAAACTATAAATTTCAAAATCATGAAACTTATTTTGAGGGTACACACATGTAGTAAAACAAAGGCAATGTTAAGAACAACATTTAAAATAATGATTACTCTTAGGGAGAAAGGAAAGGTTGGGGCAGGACACACAGGAAATGGAAGTGAACTAGTTCTAACACTGGATAATGGATACATGAGTATTTTATACCATGTTGCATTCTCCTTTTGTATGTTGGAGATAGTTATCTTTTGGGAGCCAAACAAAAGAAGTTTAAAACACAGTGCTATCCCCTTACCTGTGGGGATGTGACATGAATGAAGACCAGAGGGTCTCTGAAGCTGCAGATAATTCCAAACCACACATATGCTTTTTCCTATCCTACCTAAGAAAACTTGAACGTATAAACTGGGCATGAAAGAGATTTAACAGCAACACAACAGGCCAATTATAACAATACACTATAGTGAGTTATGTCAGTGTAGTCACTGTCTCTTAAAATGCCTTACGGTCACAGCGCATTTCTCTTTCTCCTGGTACTGGTTATTGAACCCTGGGCCTCATGCGTGGTTAGGCAAGTGCTCTACCACTGAGCCACAGCCACCTCCCCACATGTCTTTCAGTTTTGAGACAAAGTCTTGCCAAATTGCTCAGGCTGGCCTTGACTTGGTTGTCCTGCTTCAGCCTCCCCAGCAGCAGGGCGGCCTGTACCACAGACACCGGGCAGTGCTCACCCTCTCCCTTGGAGGAGGCGCCGTGCAGCTTCTCTGGCATTTCTGGCATCTGAACTGTTAGATCACTTTTTTGTTTTCTCTCTGTGTTGGGAATCAAACCCAGGGCCTTCAGCACAATACCCTCACACGGGGTGGGGTGGGGTGGGTTCTCAGGAAAACAAGGGTCCTCACACTGCGACGTAGCGGCAGTGGATCTGGTAAGTAGAAGAGTGCTGACTGTGGGCAGTGGCACCTGCAGTAGTGACACAGCGGGAATGCTGCACGCAGGGTGACTCGGTCCTCAGCAGCACGGGGCAGGACAGCACAAAATTTCATCCCATGATTCAGAATGGCATGCAAATTATTTATTTCATTTTTCATTTAAGATTTTGGTCGACCCTGGGCAACAAACTGCAGAAAGCAAAATCATGGACAGGTAGAGACTTCTGTACTCAGTACAACTCTCAGGATCCAGTAGTGACAGAATGATGACATTAAGTCTCTAGGAACTCAAGTACTTCATTCTGCCTCATCATTTTCACCTTTTTTTTTGGTACCGGAGATCGAACTCGAGACCTTGCACTTGCAAGGTAGGCAGTGGAACCCACTGAGCTAAATCCCTGGCTCGTTGTCTGAGACTATGTAGCCCAGGCTGGCCTTGAACTTGTCGCAGTCCTCCTGCTTCAGCCTCCTATGCTGGGATTACAGGTGTGCGCCACCACATCTGGTGCACCACCATCCTTAAAATTAAAATTGTTAAAGTAACAACAGAGTTGTACCCATGTGACTCAAGTTTCACCACCATTTGGTGCCAAATATGACTACGCAAAAAAGGGTTAGCATATCGGCCCGTGAGTTCTCTCCTTGGCGAGGCCTGCTTGTGAGGCTGGGAATGTGGACTTCAGGAAGATTTGTAACTCTCAGGCTGGCTAGGAGTAGGTGAGTGTCCTGCACATCTGCTTTCCGGCTGTGACAGGAGGTTTGGTATGTGTTAAACAGATGATGCCTATGACTGGCCCCCAGCAGAAACCAGGCCTGGAGTTTCCAGCGGGCTTCCTACGAAGCAGCATTTCACACGTGCTGCCACAGCTTGTTACTAGAGGGGCTGTGCCCTGTGTGATTCCATTAGGAAAGGACTCCTGGACGCTTTACCCTTTTATTTTGTTTTGTGTTCTTTTCTGGAATAAATCATAGCCATCACTACAACTGTGGCTTGTTTCTGAATGCTCCTTATCAAATTATGGACCCTGAGTGATCTTGGCAACCACCAACACAAGAAACTCAGTGCCCACCACCAGCCATCATCTCCTGGGGCTCAGTTCCACGGACACCTACCACACCCAGCCGCTGTCTCTGAGCAGCTTCTCTTCTGGGCTCACTCCACCCTGTGAGCTACCTCAGCTCGAGCCCTGAGACTCTCCCTAGACCTGTGTGTGACTCACTCCTCTCTTGCCAGTTCTGCCCTCAGGAGCCCTAAGCCTGCACACTCATCCCCATCTCCCAGGATGGTGTCACTCCAGCAGCTTCTGGTCTGCCCAGCCCTTGTTCCCAGAGCTTCCCAATGCCTGTGAAACTGTCACAGTACCATGAGAGACCTACGGCTTCTGAGGGCTGGCTCTTGAGAGGAAAGACTGGCTTCCAGGGTCTAGAGGCCACTTTGGTTTTGCACTGCCAGGATCAAGTCCAGAGCCTGCACGCCAAGTAGGTGCCCCCCGCCGACTTCTTCCCAAAGGGGTGCTCAGGCACTGCCAGACCTACAGGATGTTGGTTGGGAAAATGCAAACAGCTCTCCATTCTAAGGGCACTATTACCTTGAGTACAAATCACACCAACAACTGGTTTACCACCTTCTAGCTTTGAATGTCTCTAACTCATTTTTTCCATTGCCTTGCTTAAAATCCTTCAATGTTTGCTCACCATTTTAAAGATAAAAGATGTATGTGTAAAATATGACACCTTACATGTGCATTCATATATAAGAATAACAAGATACTTTACACTTGATCTTAGCCAAAAGGCCAAGAAGTGATAAGAATAACAAGACAGTTTAGAAAGAAAGGGAGGGTGGGGAAGAATCTCAAAAATCTGATCCCAAAGAGAGAGAAAAAAGTCTTATCCCAAAGCAGACAACACAGAGCTAACCACATTTTCACTGTCATTTAAAATATCTCAAAGTAGAAAAAAAAAATCTGACAACCCAAATGAATAAAAACAAAAAAGAATATTTGCTCATTTTATTTTCTAGGGCATAAATTAGAGCTTTGCAAAATAAAGACTAAACGCCACTAATACTATGAAAAATTGGGTACTAACTCCTCCCGTGTTCCTATTTTTTTTTTTCTCCCCATACCAAGGCTTCATGCATGGTAGGCAAGCACTCACCACAACCCATCCCCATCCCTTTGTAAATTTTATTTTGAGACAATGTCTTGCTAAATTGACCAGGATGGACTTGAACTTGTGATTCTCCTGCCTCAGTCTCCTGAGTAGCTGGAATTATGGACCTGCGGCACTATACCCAGCTGGGCAATAATATTTGCTTTCAGTCTTTACATTTGTTCTGAATACAGTAGTAATTTGTAGGGTATAAGATAAATATTTTGCTTATAACTGGAAAGTAGATAAAGGACAGGCTTCCTATTAAAAATGACTGATAAGGGCTGGGGATTTAGCTCAGTGGTTCTGCCTGCCTTGCAAGCACAAGGACCTGAGTTCAATCCCTGGTAACAAAAAAAAAAGACTGACTGATATACTGGGTGTGGTGGCGCACACCTGTAATCCCAGCATTGGGGAGGCTGAGGCAGGAGAATCAATGTGAGTTTAAAACCAGCCTGGGCTACACAGTGAGTTCCAGGTCGGTCTCAACTACAATAGTGAGACCTTGTC